TCGATATTTCTCGATTAAGGCTAAACGCAGAAAGTTATCGAAGATACATCCAAGAGCTTTAAGTGTTTATGCAGCCCGTCATATATAAATGTAGATTTGCCTCTTCGGCATTTTGTGAGCACAGGGTATGCACAAAAAAATAAGCATCTACAACTAATGCGGCAACAATTTATACTCGAAATACAAATTAGCTTTTGGCATTAGCTACCTAGAACGAGTTAAACCCTTTGAACCCCGCTGCCCATTCAGCTCGAGGCTTGCCTCAGTGTTGTGCATAGCTGATATGGGCCAGTGCTGATAAGCGGCGCATAGAACTCTATAGAGCTGGCGACAATCGATCGATGCTGTCGTCAAAACAAATCACATTAGCATTGACCAGAGATGCGCCTGCAGATAGACATAACCAAGTGCATTCCATATGCGAATGCATAGAAACATGTTTCCAAGTGCAGCCGGAGCCGAAGCCGGACCGAAGCCGGATCATGATCCGTAATCTGTTAGCCTGTTAGCTAAACAAAGTGTGCCCTTAGCAATCCGTAACATTATTGGATTATCAGGGGTAGCTGATCAATCGATCGATTCAATCGAATCCCGCTGAATCGGTAAATGTAAAAATTCTATTAATAGAGCCCATTAAAAAGCTGCCTCAAATTAGCAACCGTTGATAAGGCGCCAACGGGTGACCTTCTCAACAAATCGGAGTCTAACATATGGACATATAGACCGGCATTAACTAACTAGGAAATTGGGGCGCTCCACATGCATGTACAGTTGTGCCTGGCATTAGCTGAGAGATTACCTAATGCCTCGTGCTTTAGTTGAGGGAATGCCCTGCATATACAAACACAAGTTTCTATACTATGTCTGGTTTTTATATCGGACTTATTCTTGAGCTTGTATTATATTCTATTATATCCTATTATATCATTTATTATACACAAACCCTGCATAGGAAGGAATAACTAATCTTAATTAGGAATTATTCCTTTAGTTAGTTATTAATCCTATCCGACTGGTTCTAATCTAGTTGCTATCTTAAATCGATTTATGAGTAGCATTTCTTATAACATTTGTGTAATCCCTTTTTATTCTAACCATATCATTAAATGGTTAAGGTAATAGGGTATATAATCTATATGTATATATAATCAATCTGATTATAGAAGAACCTTTATATAATACCATGATTCACTGCAGGCAGTACTCATGCTCCCAATCCTAGTCAACAATTTGATTAAAAAAACTTCCATCTATTTTCCACCCTCTCATGTGAAATTAATATCATTCCAAACAGAGTTGCCAGTCATTAAAAAATGTTTAATATTTCGATTTCCGTGCAGCGCGTCTACTACCTGTCGCTGGAGTACTACATGGGCAGATCGTTGACCAACACCATGATCAACTTGGGCATTCAGAGCGAATGCGAGGAGGCCATGTACCAGCTGGGTCTGGACATTGAGAATCTGGAGGAGATGGAGGAGGATGCCGGCCTGGGCAATGGCGGTCTGGGTCGCTTGGCCGCCTGTTTCCTCGACTCGATGGCCACGCTGGGCCTGGCTGCCTATGGCTATGGCATACGCTATGAGTACGGCATCTTCGCCCAGAAGATCCGGAACGGTGAGCAGGTGGAGGAGCCCGATGATTGGTTGCGCTTTGGCAATCCCTGGGAGAAGGCACGCCCCGAATTCATGCTGCCCATCAATTTCTATGGTCGCGTTATCGATACGCCCGAGGGCAAGAAGTGGGTGGACGCGCAGAAGGTCTATGCCATGCCCTACGACAATCCCATACCCGGCTACAACAACAACCATGTGAACACGCTGCGTCTGTGGTCCGCCAAGTCGCCGGTCGACTTCAATCTGAAGTTCTGTAAGTAATCCTGACCTCCGAATATCCACGCGACTTTGACAAATCCCTTTGCTTGCAGTCAACGATGGCGACTACATTCAGGCCGTGCTTGATCGCAATCTGGCCGAGAACATCTCGCGTGTGCTGTATCCCAACGATAACTTCTTTGAGGGCAAGGAGCTGCGTCTGAAGCAGGAGTACTTCATGTGCGCCGCCACGCTGCAGGACATCATACGCCGCTACAAGGCCTCCAAGTTCGGGTCGCGCGAGGCGGTGCGCACGAACTTCGAACACTTCCCCGAGAAGGTGGCCATTCAGCTGAACGATACGCATCCCTCGCTGGCCATACCGGAACTGATGCGCATCCTGGTCGATGAGGAGCATCTGGAGTGGGAGAAGGCCTGGGATATTGTGGTGCGCTCCTGCGCCTACACCAATCACACGGTGCTGCCAGAGGCCCTGGAACGCTGGCCCGTCTCCATGCTGGAGTCCATACTGCCGCGTCACTTGCAGATCATCTACCACATCAACTTCCTGCACATGGAGAATGTGAAGAAGAAGTTCCCCGAGGATCTGGACCGCATGCGTCGCATGTCGCTCGTCGAGGAGGATGGCGACAAGCGCATCAATATGGCCCATCTGTCGATCGTTGGCTCCCATGCGGTCAACGGCGTGGCGGCCATACACTCGCAGATCCTGAAGGACACGCTGTTCCGTGACTTCTACGAAATGGATCCCAAGAAGTTCCAGAACAAGACGAACGGCATTACGCCACGCCGTTGGCTGCTGCTCTGCAATCCGGGCCTGTCCGATCTCATTGCCGAGAAGATCGGCGACGAGTGGCCCGTGCATTTGGATCAGCTGGTCGCCCTCAAGAAGTGGGCCAAGGATCCCAACTTCCAGCGCAATGTGGCGCGTGTCAAGCAAGAGAACAAGCTGAAGCTGGCCACCATTCTGGAGAAGGAGTACGGCATCAAGGTCAATCCAGCCTCCATGTTCGACATTCAGGTGAAGCGCATCCACGAGTACAAGCGCCAGCTGCTCAACTGCCTGCACATCATCACACTGTACAATCGCATCAAGAAGGATCCGACCGCCAATTTCACGCCGCGCACCATCATGATCGGTGGCAAGGCTGCTCCGGGCTACTATGTGGCCAAGCAGATCATCAAACTGATCTGTGCCGTTGGCAATGTGGTCAACAATGATCCCATTGTTGGCGACAAGCTGAAGGTCATCTTCCTGGAGAACTATCGCGTCACGCTCGCCGAAAAGATTATGCCCGCTGCCGACTTGTCCGAGCAGATCTCGACGGCTGGCACTGAAGCCTCCGGCACCGGCAACATGAAGTTCCAGCTGAACGGCGCCCTAACCATTGGCACTCTGGACGGCGCCAATGTGGAAATGGCCGAGGAGATGGGCATGGACAACATTTTCATCTTTGGCATGAACGTCGTTGAGGTGGAGGCACTCAAGGCGAAGGGCTACAATGCCTACGACTACTACAATGCCAATGCCGAGGTCAAGCAGGTCATCGATCAAATCCAGGGCGGTTTCTTCAGTCCCGGCAATCCCAACGAGTTCAAGAACATTGCGGACATACTGCTCAAATACGATCACTACTTCTTGCTGGCCGATTTCGATGCCTACCTCAAGGCACAGGATCTGGTATCCAAGACCTATCAGGTAAACTGCCCGATCTATAAAAAGCCTGGCTGCAAATCGATTCGGTTCGGGATTCGATCTAGAAGTGGTATCTTCACCAGGCTTAAGGCCTGGTTTCTGGTCGTTTCTTTTGCAGCCTTGATTGATTGAATCTAACTATCTATTTATCTAATCTTATTTATATTTTCCAATACAGAACCAGGCCAAATGGCTGGAGATGTCCATCAACAATATTGCCTCCAGTGGCAAATTCTCATCGGATCGCACAATTGCCGAATATGCCCGCGAAATTTGGGGCGTTGAGCCCACCTGGGAGAAGCTGCCCGCACCGGAGGATCAGCAATAAATCAATTTTAACAATTTTTGATATTATATATTTTATTATTTGTGTGCTTTACTTTTGTTAAAGTCCCAATTTAGGAGCCAAATGCAACAACAACAACCAATTAAAAAAGAAAAGATATATGAGAGAAATGAATTAAGCTAGCGCTAAGATGTATACATCGATCGGGCTCATTGTTAAATATTAAATATCTTATTTAATAAATTTTAAACAAATCCATTTGCTAATCTTCAATTATGATGGAATCGAATTAGCTGCTGCGACTACGACTACGGTACCTTTCGCCATTCAAAACTCAGGAACACTTTCAAAGTAAATAAAAGATGTTAAATCAATTAAAATAAAAAAGAAAACCAAAAATCAAAAAACAAATTGCAAAACTTGCAACTTAGTGCCCGGCTTTGTTTTAAATATGAATATTAATGTGCGTGTTAAACAAAAAAAAAAAGCAAATAAAGAAATTCAAGTTGAACTGTTACATGTAAAATAAATCATTTAATTTGCATAATAAAACAAAAACAACAAGAGGTTCTAGTCGGGAGCACCCACCTAGGGGATACCCTAAACCCTCTTCTTCCAACATCAAACGCATATATATATTCTATTTTAGAAGGTATATGTCAAGTTTGGGGACTCTAGCTCTTGTTATTTACCAAAATTGCCCAAAAAACAAGATATCGATATCGATTGCTTGGAAACGGAGTAAGTTATCGATTATCGGTGAAAGAAAGAAACGTGTCAGCGGCAGCTAGCCCAGATTTCAAGAATTGCTGTAAGCATCTACACACATTCGCATTCACGCGCGTCTTTATGGAATTCTATCAAAAGCATTGCAATTGCGATTGTTTTACTGACTGTGTGTGCTGCTAATTTAATTGGTTTTTTTTTCAATAGTCATCAGTTGCTGTTTTGGCTGTTGGGTACTATTTATTTTAAATTTATTTTTTATTTATTTGTATTACTGTTAAAGCAAATTAAGAGTAGAAGAGGGTTCAGGTCGAGAACGCCCGACAAGAGTCTCTTACTTAATTTTTATGTTTATATATATATATATATATATATATATATATATATATATATATATGTATGTATATGTATCTGTGTACATGTTAACATATATATGTAAGCGCCCAGAAGATGTGCCAGATCCAATTAATGTGTGACATCTTCTCTAAACCTGAACCCGTAGCCATGGAAACAATTTCAAAATTTTCGGTGCAAATATTAAGCTGGGAAAAGTAAACGGATTTCGCTAGAGCAAAATTGACAGATAATACCGATAATACCGATAAATTCGTCAAGCGTCAAGCGACTTATGGAGGAACGTCTAAGGCTACTGAGCAAAACGCAGCCACGATCCGCAATGCCAACAAAAATACGACGAATCCGTCGCGTTTGTGTTAATATTGAGGCCAACGGCTGTCGTCCTTGCCGTTGCTTAAAGTCAATGAATTCGCTGTATTATCCGGACGAAAGCGTGTACTACAATCCTTGGAATCTGGACAAAGGCAACCAAATGCAGCAGCACATGAACTCGTCAGTCTATGCCCATGCCATGCACAATCTGTGCTCGCCCGGTATGGCAGCCGGGTCGAGCTCCGGCTTGAATTATGGCGGCACACGCCTGCCGGCTGGAGTAACCGTCTGCAACAACTCCAGCCAGGAGGAGGCCATTGCGGAGCTCAAATATATGCTGGACACGCTGGAGCAGCAGCAGCAAATGACCGACATGGGCGCCTACTATAGCTCCGCTACCCAGGCGACAAATAGCCTAATAAGCCCGCCAAGCTTTCACCCCTGCGTGCACCCAGTCTTTCATCCACACTTTCAACCACACTTTCGGTCAAACCTGCAGCCATGCTGCCAGCCGAGCAGCTGCTCAACACACGCCTCGCAGAATTCCGAAGGCAGCGCCCATACGGTTCTGGATTACACCCAGGACCTGGGCGAGTCGCTTACGGAAGAAGCAAAAGCGGAGGGCAAAGAGGCTGCCGAGGACACGACACCGCAAGGCGAACGAGATAATCAGATTAAGACGCTTACGGATCTGATGCGTCAGACCATGCGCAAGCTGGACAACTACATGACGCTGCAATCCGCGCAGCAACAGCAGCAGCAGCAGCAGGCACAAGGCTCGCAGCTGAACATGAACTCGTATCTGGATCTGCCGCGGCTGACACAATACATGAAATCGTCGCTGCCGATGACCCTGGTAAACAGCCTACAGCAGCCGGCCAAGACGCGCGGCAAGCGGCTGGTCAAGGTCATGCCCGTGCAGCCGCTGGTCATCATGCCGGCACAGACCGCAACCGCACCCGCTGCAACGCCAGCGCCAGCTGCTCCGGTCGAGCCGCCCGCCAAGTATCGTGTGCGTGTCCGCAGGAAACGTCCGTCCAGCGGAAAGTCTACTAGCAAGAGCCAGGTCGCCGAGAGCTGTCCGGCTAGCAGCTGCCAAGTGGGTAAGTTGCCAAGCTCAGGCCACTTTTGGGTTTTTCAATTAATGCCCGTTTCCTATATTTTCCAGAGGCGTCTGGGCAAAACATGCGCGACAGCAGCACCACCATGTGGTGTCCCAGGGATTGCTGCAAGCACTGCTGTGGCGTGGTTACGGAGAGCAAGACAAGATTACCCAAGTCACCGGAGCCAGCACCAACACCAGCACCGGTTGCCCCGCTATCCATACCCATACAGCTGTACGCGATGGGGACGCGGCCGAGCCTAATAGAGGCGAGCAGTTGTCCAGCACGTATGGAGCGCGTGCCTCCAGCGTTGTCCAAGAAACCGCCAACAAGGCTGCAGGGTAACAAACATAATTCCGACTATGAAATTGGCTACGACGTGGATGATGAACTGGACCGAAACAGGGCTAGCAAGCTTAGCTACGCTTATATCGAGGAGGAAGAGGAGGAGCAGGAACAGGATCGAGGAGAAGAGGAGAAGCACGAGCTGCAGCAGCCGAAGCAGCAACGCCAACGCCTCCCCCAAAAGCTGGAACCGGAACCGGACCCGGAGACAGAGACCGAGCCGGAGCAAAGTAGCTCGGATCACTGGTACAATAACGCAAGGTATAGTCTGGCTCAGTTGGAAAAGCAGGAGAGCTACTTCACCAATATGGAGCTGGAACAGGAGCGAGAGCGGGAAGTGGAGGCGTCGGGGAGCACCTGCAACAAGTTGCAGCAAACAGATTCGTGCAGCACCATGGACAACTCAACGGACAGTAGCTTGACGCCCACACGTTTCATAGCCACCACGGACAAGTCGGTGTCGACCAACGACATGCAACAGGTGTTGCAGGCTGCAAAGGGTCCGCCCGTCAAGATTGTGCGCATCTGCAAGACGTCCTCGATGAAGTCCAGGCGCGGCAAGACCCCGACCAAAAATAAATCCAAGGCTAGGGTTAAGTTCGATAAGAGCCAAGCAAAGCTGCATAGCGTGGAGTCCAATGTGAATCCCTTCCTGGTAGCGCCACACGAGCAGCTGCCCAAGTATCGCATGCTCAAGTCCATGAGCGAGACGCGATCCGATGCCGGGCAGTCCGGCAAAAGGAAACGCCGCTATACGGCCGAGCAGGAGGCCCGGTATCAACGGCTAATGGAGGAGGTCGAGAGCATAGAGAGCGAGATGGAAAGGAATGTTAGCAATGAATTCAAGTGCAATCCCATGGCCAGTAGCTCACGCTTGCGCTGCCATGGCGGCTCAGTTTCATCCGTTTATCCGACCGGCTGGACGCAGTGAGAAATAGCAGTAGGGATACGCAGCAGGCCATATTTGTATACGAGTTAAGTATTCGAAATTTTAACAGGGGGAGATGGATACAAATTAACTGAGCAACTATGAACAAAAATGTGCCTCAAGTGAGTGAGACTGGTCGTGGCGTTTCGGATCGTCCGGAAGGGGGCGAAGAGAGCGACCGATGGCCGGAGGCCAGCTCGAATCCTGCGATAAAGCAGAGAGCATGTGTTTCCTGTTGCAAGAATTGCGTGGTGCATCGGCTTGATGTTGAATCTGGGCTCAGACCCGGCTCCGATCCTCAACGCACAGCTGATCAATGGGACAGAACCGACTCTGAGCTTCAACATCAGGACAATTCATGGGACAGAAACAATCACGAACCTCAGCCAGCTTACACATATGAGCCCAAATATAAACTTCTAGCTAATACGATAGATCATGACTATTTCGAGCGTCCATCCCGGCGCAGCTCAACAGTCCGAAACTATGCCGAGCCGCAGGGTCAAGCTCACTATCCTCCGCCTCCGCCTCCGCCACCGCCTCCGCCTCAAGCGCAATCATGGAGTGAAAATGTCGACCGTCCATGTCAGCCGCCAACCGATGCCGGCTTTGGGACAAGACTAGCAGACGCTCAAAACCATCCGAGTCACCAGAGACCGACCATACTGGTCATCGTCGTCAAGTAGGTAGAGCCCCAACCAAATACTCGGAATAGACAAACCGTGTCTATTGTTAAGTATTTATATTTTAAGTCACCGCGTCAAACAAGTCATTTAGTCTGTCCATCTGCTCCGTTCTCTCGATCCCACAAATTTATAAAAGCTTGTCTAGGTATCTTGGTATTTCTGTGCCAGCTTCTAGCCACGAGATTTCCGTAAACTAAATCTTATAAACTGGAGCTTATGATAGTTATAGAATAAGCCAAGTAGCTTGTTATGTGTGTCTGTCTGTTGAGATCTCTGAATACAGGAAATTCTCTGGTCGGAGCCCTTTCGACTAGGCCGCTTTACTTTGCCCTATAGCTAAGTATATTTGATACATTCCCCATTTAGCAACAAAAATCTAGCTGGAGCCGCTTTAAATAATGGCTATAAGCCCGTGGCTTGTCAAGTCGACTATCGGGAACCCGCCAATCAGAAGAGCGTTTATCAAGATAGATGTAGCTTGAACGGAAATAATCCGAATCGCAGTTGTGGCCCTGCAGAGAATCAAAGCTATTGGAATTTCAAGTAAGTTTTGCCATGATTATATTTTATAGACTTGGGTATTTCATTTGCAAGCTAAAAATGCAGCTGAGAAAAAATTCCGCTTAAAAACAACCCGCCTACTGCGTTCCTATATTAAACTTCATTAATCACTCGTTTAATCCACAGCTCAACTTATCCATACCCGATCCAGGAACAGCGCACCCAAAACGGGTAAGACAAAAAATCCCAGCTGCAACAGACCAAACCGCTTAACTGAATTCACATTTTTATAGACTATACGATTCGGTTAGCAGGTTCGACGATGATGAGTGCTCGTGCAGTAGGTAAGTTGGAGAGCATCCTAAGCCACATAGTCTCAACGCCCACCTTGCTAGACCAAACTGCCGAGGTCGGACGGGCTATGGGCAGCAAGTCTCAAATGGGTAAGTTTCATGGGGGATAACGTCACGTTAAATATGTCATCTGTAATTCAATAGATCAAGGGGACAAGGTCGCAGGCTTAGCTTTGGGCAGAGTGCAGCAAGTGGGTAAGTTCCATGAAAGACCTACGCACGTTCAATATGTCATTTGTCATTCAATAGATCATCAGGCCCAAGTGGCAGGCCTAGCTTTGGACAGCAATTCAGAAATGGGTGAGTTTAATGAAAGGCCAAGGCACGTTTAATATATATTATCTATTATCCTGTAGATCCATGAGCCAAGATCTCAGGTTTAGCTATGAGCAGCCAGTCGCAAATGGGTAAGTTCCATCCAATGGAAGTCGAGCTCAACACGTCATACATATAATTCTATAGGTTTAGGGATCGAATTCGCCGGGACACATATGATATGGAATATGAGGCCAGACAGCGTCGTGGGTCGTCACATTCCGGCCAAGGATTGCTGTGTCCAGTTTGCTGCCCAACAAACAATGAAAGATCAACTGGACTCTATGGTAATAAGGGATCAAATCGTGGCACGGGAACGACCATTGGACAGGGTGAACGCAGTTTTGATATTGCTGGCGGCAAGGATGAATCCTTCAGCAGCATTACCGAACGAAGTGTAACCGATCCGAGCGTAACCGATCGGAGCGTAACCGATCGGAGCGTTACCGATCGGAGCGTAGCCGATCGGAGTGTAGTCGATCGGAACGTAACCGAGCGAAGCACAACCGATCAGAGCGTAGCATGTGTCTGTGATTCAACGTGTGATTGTGACTGTGAATGTGCGCTTGGTGATCTGGCGCATACGCTCGAGAGCCTTGTGCCCAATGAGGAGTGCTTATGCTATTTGGAGCAGCTGGAAAAGGCCAAGAAAGCGAAGGCTAGGAAGAAAAAGCAGCGAAAGCCAAAAGTCGTTTACGATCGATTCGCGAGTCCACCCTTTGTAATCGAGCCGAAGACCTTTTGTCTAGGCTGCTGCAACAGGTCCTGTTGCCATTCCTGCTATGGTCATTGCTGTAACTCCTACTATCCCTGGTGCTTGACAAGATGAGGAACACACAAAGGGTTGCTCAGCTGATGTGTAGCCCATGTGAAAACTGCTCGCATATGAAATTCAACCACAACACCACAAATAAAGTTATAGATCCTACCCCGAAACAAAATAGGAACGGAAAACTGTGTCAATACTTGTCAAAATTCGGGGCTTTTTATTAATATAAATTGTTTTTTTTAACACCTTGACGCACTGACAATGTAACTGAGTCTAAAGCTACACCGATGGCAATTGGCTTAAAATGGCGGGATTACGCAAAAAGAGACGTACCACGAAGCAGGCCCTGCTGCGCCGGGCTGTCATTAAGGCGGGTCGCAATGCGGACGATACTGTAGATAGGTCTGCGCTATATGATGTGCCCCAAACCAGATCCAGTCCCCAGGCCAAGGCCATAACTGTGCTGCCTTCCTTTAACAAGGATGCGCAGTTGGTGCATATCATGCAGCGCAGCCTATCCAACAACTCGGGCTCCAGCTGGGAGCCGAGGGGTGCGCATCGCATAACAAGAATCAAGCCCAACAAGACTGAGGCTAAGCTGCAACATATTTTCCTCGAAACGCCCTTCAGGTCGGCTGAGCAACGCAAGGAGGCGGACAATGGGGCAGCAAAGAAATCAGGCCTCAAGAAACCAAATACCAACGGTAAGACCTAAGCTAGAGAAGCTCCCTTCATGATTAAACCATGTCGTTTTGCAGATAACAGATCAGGAGTTAGCTTGAAAGCGTTCGAGCCCTCGAAGGGCTCCAAGGGCTCACGAGCTAGCTCCTTGGGCTATCCTTCTAGTTGGAATTTGGAAGTGCCCGGCGAGGACGAAGTGTCTGCAGTGGTTGCCAATGAGCTCAGCCTAAGCGAAATAGTCAATTGCGAACTACTCAATCGTACTATCTACGATAACCGGCTGAACGCCCCGGTTACCTTACGTCGACCCACCAAAATTGACAATGCCGTGCAGTGTGTGCTTCCGCAGATGCCAAAGACCGCGACACTGCGGCGTAAGAAAACGGCCGGGGTCCAAACCCAGACAATTACCAAGCGTAGGCTGTTAACCCCAAAGCCAATGCAATACAAGATACCACGACTGCAAAGGATCAGGTCCAGAATGTTTCCGATTGGCACTAGGCGCAGCATTTCTCCGACGGGCATTATCCGTATGGACAGGCTGCTTGGTGTCACCGCCAAAGGAATGCGACCCCGTGTGTACAGTGGCAAAGCGGACATACATACGGAAAGTGTTCCGAACAATGTTGGTAAAAATTCCAGAAATCCCAAAAATCTACGGCGACCAGCATCGCCAGGCTCCAGCAATGACGAGGAGCGCGGAATGAAAAAGTTGGACGTTGCCAAGGATCCAAACTATGGCGGTTACACACCATCGGATTGCAGCTGCGAAAGCAAAAGCAATGACAGCCTTGACAAGCAAAATAAATTAACGGCAGCCCCTAAAGAATCCTCGGAGCATTACAATCGCATCGATAAGATAAGTCAACCGCCCAACGGAAAGGAACGTAAACACCAAAAACCCGAATCCAGTTCGGCTGAGTGTAAATGCAATGGCCAACCAGGCAACCAGTTGAAGACCCATCAAGCCACCTGCACCAAGGTAAAGTGCCCCAATAAGAGCTGGGATTCAAGAATGGCCAATGAGCAGGAAATAAAGGAAGCAGGAAACAAGTCGGGCACGTCTGGCACCTCAAGCACTATGCACTATTGTTACTGCAGCCAAAAGAAGTCCAGTGCCAAGAACGTGGTCTTCGAGAGTCAAGGATCGAACGACACGGAGCAGACACAGAACAGTTCCAGTGAACAAAGGTTTGCCAAACCCGCATCGGACACAAAACTGCCTAAGGCCCCTGGCCAGACGTGTCAGTGTCCCAAGTGCTCCAATGCCGTGACACAGACGCCAAAAAGAGGAAAGAATGAACGAATTGCAACAAAAAGCAAAGTGCATAGTGAAAACAGTTCCGAGGAATGCATCTGCATATGTGCGAATTGCATCGCAAAGGGCATGGGGACTGCGCAGAACTCCAAGGGAACAAGCGATGTGTGCGACTGCAAGTGTCCCACTTGCACTAAGGCAAAATCTAAAAGTCAACCGACCAATGCAGTCAGGGAAATGGAAGGGAAAGCTTTAAGTTCTGATCGTAGTGCAAAACAGAGCTCGAGAGAATCGAGAGCTCAGAAACCTGGTCGTGGAACAATGCACAGCCCCAGAGAGGGAAAACCTTCAGGTCCTGAGAGAAGAATGACGCTTAGCTCAAGAGAACCCAGAATTCAAAGTCCTGTGCCAGGAGTGTACCCACAAGGTACTGTCGCCCGCCCAAAGGGCAGACAGGAGACCGTGAAGCAGCTTAAATGCCAATGCCCAAAAGCCAAAGTTATACAGGCACTGCATGAATTCAACGAATACTGCATCTACAAATGTCCCAATTGCTCAAATAGAGTTCAACAACCTAACATAAATGCAGCCATGTATGCCAGAGAAGGAATGTACGGTATGAGCCCATGTCAGTGTCCAGGCTGCAGAATGCTTCGGAGGCCAGGCAGTCCGATGTCAAGCTCGTCACACCCTAGAAGTGGCCGAGACAGTCCAACCAGAAACCCAATGAGCGATTCCAGGAGGCATAATTACAATGGCAAAAGGCATCATGAGCCGAAGAAATCATCGTCAAACAGTAACGATTCATCCAATGAATCCATTGAGCGAATTCTGCCAGTTGTTACCATGAGCTCAAACCAGGACAAGGTTAACAAGAAAGTACAATGCGATTGTAAGTGCCCCAACTGCGGCATTAACATCAATGACTTCTCCCGGGATGACAGAAAAAAAAGCGAAATAGACCTAAATCCAAATAAGCTGTATAGTCAAACTCAACCCAGGCCAGATACTGTGGCAAGGGAAGCTAGGAACGCACAGGAGATGGGAGCCAATTTATATGGTTCGAATAGGTATGAAGCCAACAACCAAGACGTCCAGGAAGACGCCGATCGGGAGTGCCAAATCTGTAATACCATAATGGCTAAGAAAAAATACGCTATGGCATCGAAAACCAAATACGATGTGGAATCGGACAACAAATACGATATGGATCCAGAGCAGAAATACGATATGGAATCGGACGACAAATACGATATGGATCGGGAGCAAAATTATGACATAGATCCAAAGCAAAAATACGATATAGATCGAGAGCGCAAATACGATATTGATCGAGAGCGCAAATACGATATTGATCGAGAGCGCAAATACGATATTGATCGAGAGCGCAAATACGATATTGATCGAGAGCACAAATACGATATGGATCGAGACACGGAAGCGAAAAGCAAGTACGATGCGAATCCAAATCGGCATCGGAGGCCACATTGCAACTTGGAGACGTGCAATAAAAAGTGTAACAAGTGTAAAATAACAGCGGCAAAAACCAAAACGGGTGATGCCATGGTTAATCTTGTTGTGGACGATAAATGTAATGTGAATCAAATCATACAAATCTTGCAGGAGACAGTTTTACAGCTGGAGGGACAAAAGAAACTGCTAAGCCAGTCCGTGGAGAATGCGGTTGTCACCCAAAATGACAATATTAACAATGTTCAGAAGAATTATGCAAATGGCACTTTGACCTCCTTGAATCCCAACTTAATGCCAGAACCTTATTGCGACATAAGAAACTGTCCAGTGTATAAGTCGCAATCTCCCGATCAGGAGCAACTATATAAGGCGACAGCCTATACCACATGTCCAGGATACAATCCGTTCCAACAGCGAAAAGGTAGTCCGCTAGAAGGCAGTCCCCAAGCGACGCGAAGAAACAGAAATCCTGCTGTTTACCAAGACCCATCCAGCTTGCAGTATCAGCCAACAGATGAGTTTCAGCCCCATCATGATAGGTTTATAGCTATGGATCCGAATGCTCCACATCAAGGTGGTCTGCGCAGTCGCAGCGGCAGCACGTATCCCTTGAAGGAAAACTCTAAGATAAGCTCGTTGCCGCGTGAAATACTACAAAAGATCAAGCCTACGAAATCGTTCATAGATATGTTTCATATGGCCCTGGCTTTAAAAGGCAATAAAGGCTATTACCACAATCCTAATGCACATGCCAACTTCTATGGTCAATCGCCCAAGGAACAAGAATTCTTGGACTATGCACAGTATGCGAGCAACATATTAGCTGCTGCCAAAAGAAAGCAAGTGCCTGGCAAACAGCTCGCTAGAGATCAATCAACGCGAGATCTACGCTTCTATCTACACAATGCACCATCTGTGGAGCACAGCAGCAAAAACTCTCCGGGACACAACAGTCCGAAATATCCTACCAGCAAATATCTAAAGCAAAACTTTAAATTTTCCTCCCATACAGGCATTGGCGACAGGAGTAATAGTCCGCCACGGCTGCAGGGACAATCGGAGCAGGAGCAGCGACACCGAAGACCGGATAGAGCAGAGTCCCATTTTTTTCGAAAAGACAATAACGAAAGCACAGCCAAAAGTCAAATTGCAGAACAACACAATCGAGAGGATCTAGTCCGGCGGCAGCCAATTGTATGCTCTGGCATCCATGATAAATCGAAAAATCCATATTTTAGGCGAGAGCTGGCACAGAGAGATTTATTCCAAAAGCACGAACATCGTGACACTGGTTCGGAATACACAGAATTGCGTGATAAGAGTCCATGTCAACCACAAGTTCCAAATATAATAAAGGAAAATCCATTTCTACAGAAACGTGAAAGTACTGGTATTGTGCCACCGTGTGAATTCCGAACACGTCAAATTCAAGATATGTATTCATGCGGCTTGGAGTTCTGTCGAAAATGTCCCAAAACTTCTAAGGTGTTGATCCACAGAAAACGCTGTTCGGACAAAGAATTCAAATATTGCAGTGAATTCTGTTGCATGGAAAAACCGAACAGACGCGATCTGCAAAAAATACAACCCGCTCTATCTATCTACGGGCATTCGAAATCGCAAAGTAGCTTCGGTTCTGGCAGAGCTAGACATCGAAGAAAAATGGGAACCCCAACCAAGCGAAAGATAAGTTATCTAAAATTGGAAGATTTCTCATCCAAGCACTTAGAGTCCAAGCACTCGCAATCATCCGTTGTCAATGCATTCCGTAAAAAATTACAGGATTTAAAAGAAAATTCTTTGCAAAACAAGAACTCAAATTTGTCACAAAAATATACACCAATATATAAAGTTGATCTGCTCGGAAACACTTTAGATCCATCAAAATCATTACCATCCAAATCAAGATGCCTATATAGTTGCAAAAGTTCCGAAATTCAAAATAAAAAGCTTACAGCCGATTTGAAAGCAAAGAAATCGAAAAGCAATCAATCATATTCACAAGAACCAAATGCCGAGAAGAAAGTGAAAGAAGGGCCAGATCTTTCGGAAGCGCAGAAATCGGAAATGAAAGGCATTGTATATTTGGGCAGAAGAAAAACTGGAGATAACCAAGAAACGGAAGGATCGGATTCAGAATTTAAGAAATTTGAAGCAAGAAAAAGTCAATATACAGCCAAAGGACGGGCAGAAAGCGATTTTTCAGATCATTCGGCATCAAAGCGAATCAAATCAAAAACAAACATAACACCGACCAGAAGACGGGCAGGTGAAAAGAAAGAAAGCGAAGAATCACTGTTTTTAGCTTCGAAGAATCAGTCAAGAAGCACCGAGCTTCTGGCCCGAAGACGAGCAGGTGAAAAGGCAGATAGCGATGAATCAGATCATTTTGAAAGAAATCAATCTGTAAGCTCTATTGGTAAACGGCGCACAAGTGAAAAGAGAGCGAAAGAGATTTCGCACAGCGACGAGAGCAAAAACTCAAATTCAATATCGTTCGGTGTATATTCTTACCTAAATAAAACAAAAAAGGGAAGAAAAGTATCTGTGGAATTGCCAGCAATAACTCTTGCTAATGATGCTCAGCTAGAGTCCACAAACAGAACGAAATTGCAAGGTGTGCTCGCCCTCGGCAATAGAACAAAGAAGGAGAGAAAGCCCGTTCTGATAACCCCTGAAAAGCAAGTGAAAAAAGTGGTATCCGCGTCAAGTGGATTTGCTAGTTTTAAGCATCGCAAGTCACGTCGCAATTCGCACAAAGAACAAAGCGATTGCGATGATGTGAAGGTCCTCTACGATTCCAGCTATAAATTTTCCAAACACAGTTACGGGGACGGCGATTCAAACGACGAGTGTGAAACGGATTTTAAGAGACAAGCCCTGTTCAAAGCGCAGCCAAGTTCAAGTCAAAATAATTTCTTCTGCATGCTGAAAGCTCGAGATAAATTTATGGGATGCCACAAATATTCAAATTAATTGGCAAACTGCGCATTAAAGCAGCATCAAAATTTTAGGAATACGTTATTTCAGACAATAAAAAAAACCAGGTGACAACAAACAATTGTTAATGGCTTATTAACACATTTTTCAACACTTACCGAAACACTTAACCGATAACACCCTGTGGCGATAGTATGTGGCGGTCAGTCGACTTAATGTATCGATAGGTCTGCAGAACATCAACAATTGGGCCTCGTTGTAATTGTTGGAAAATGTTAAATTTTTTAAATAAAACCCGACAATTGCTCTATCCGAATGTGCGCAATCTGTCGCATACACTCACAGCCTGCCAGAGCAATGTGACCGCCGAGTCCACAACGGCGGCGACCAATAATGCTGCCAGTCCGAAGCCGGCGCTAATATTGCCACAGAACTATGCCGAATATGCGCCCGTGAATCGAAATACCGCACGGCAGGCGTGGATTGAAAATGTTGATGCGGTGGCAGAACGTAAAGTGGGCCTTATGGAACTGCATCCGGATGTGTTTGCCGCACAGCCGCGCGTCGACATCATTCAGGAGAACATTGAGTGGCAGCGCAAATATCGTTATGTAAGCATGGCCCACACCAAGACACGCGCCGAGGTGCGCGGCGGCGGTCGCAAGCCCTGGCCGCAAAAGGGCATGGGTCGTGCTCGACATGGTTCCATACGATCACCACTGTTCAAGGGCGGCGGCGTTGTACACGGCCCGCGATCCCCCACCAGCCACTTCTATATGCTGCCGTTCTACAAGCGAGTGCTGGGCCTCACATCGACGCTGAGCGTTAAGCTGGCGCAGGACGATTTGCACATCATTGAGAACGTTGAGATACCGACACGTGATGCACAGTTCATCAAGGATCTGATACAAGAGCGAAACTGGGGACCATCAGTGCTCATCATTGACAAGTAGGTTGTGGGCTTTAAGCTTATTTCTTCAAGTGTTTCATTGAAGCCATTTCCTTCAGGCAAGATATCTTTCCGGAAAACATTTGTTACGCTACCGACACGTTGGGCTATGTGAATCTGATGCCCGCCTTCGGTTTGAATGTCTACTCCATGCTGAAGCACGACACCTTGGTGCTGACTGTTGATGCCGTCAAGCATTTGGAGGAGCGTCTGCTTTTCCAGCTGCATCGCAATGATGCGTCCAGCAAAGGCGCCAAATTCAAGCTGGATCAAGTTTAAATAGGTTTCCTTTTTGTTTTATTGTATACACTGCTCCAAATGCAATCTATATCCAGTTTGATGACTATTGCTTAACTTGTTGCGCTGCCTGCGAGCTACCTCTAAATACTGTGTGCAGTGGATCTTTGTCCTTCTCTGATATCAACACCTCGCATGTGCCTTGCAAGCGCTCCTCTAGTATGGGCTTAAATTCGCGCAAAAAACCACGTTCCGAGTTGCTGTGGTTACAAAGCAGCACCGTGGTGCCATTGTGATTAAACTCCAGCAATTCGTGATGTGACATCTCGCCAGTTATCATAAGATCTGCCTGCACGCCCCTTAACAATGAGCTGCCGGCGCCGGCGCAGATGCCGACAGTCTTCACAAAAGTCTTCGAATGATGCCCGACGGCAAAGGCCACATGCACGCTATTCTCAATGTGGTCCTGTAGAGCATGCACCAGCTGCGAAATGGGCATGTTAGTCTCTATCAAACGTCCCGAACCAGTGCCCGGTTCCGCACCTGGTTCTGGAATCAAGGGCTTAATGCCCTGAATGTCTACGGCCTTGGCCAGCCAATCGTTCACCCCGCCCGGCACTTTGTCCCAGGCAGTGTGCGGCGAATACAGTGCCACAGAGTTCACCAAACACGTGGCCACAATTCGCTCCTTCCAGTTGGCCATGGTGATGCGTGTGAGCGCCTTGAATATTGGTGGGTGATAGCTGATAATCAGATCCGCCTTCTTTTCCAGAGCTTCGCTCATCACCGGCTCGGTAAGATCATTGGTCAGCAGTATTCGCTCAATGTGTTTCTGTAAATGCTCCCTATGTATATCAAAGTATATTTAAATTGCATAGTTTTAATGCATACATCTTTGCTTGGCTCGATCAACAGGCCCACGTTGTCCCATTTCTCGGCCAGGGCTGTGGGCGCAAAGCTCTCCAGCTGTTTGACCACTTGGTCAAGTTTCTGTCCACATAAGGTTCCCATGCTCCTTCTCACACTGCCCACACAACGTAACATTCAAAACCAAACTTTTATGTATATTATTAACACATTAATTTCATCTGAAGTTGCATTTATTTTGATATTCAGTGCTGGACAACGTTTGTGGAAGTTTCGTATGCATTTTCCAGCACAGCTTGATTCGGCGCGTGTTTGAATAAATATATATTATTCTTTATTATAAATCAGACAAAATTGCACGATTGAAGGCTTTATTTAACTGTAATACATATTTTATTATAGGCCAGCTGAGGCAATATAGTCCATTTGTGAGAGAGAGAAAGAAAAAAACGACAAACAGAGAAAAAAAGTGAAAGAAGCGGGAAAAGAATAAGGGAGAGAAAATAATAAACAGAGAAGAGCGAAAAATAGAGAGAAAGAGAGCGAGAAAAAATCTAGAAACAACTTTAAGGATAGCGCGAGGAAACGAAAACGTTTAAGAAAAAAGTAATACAAAATCGTTAAAGAGAAAACTAAGAAAACAATCTTAAAGAGAGAAAGAGAGTTAGAAAGATAGATAGAGAGAAAAAAAAGAGAAATATGAAAATAAAAAACTTTAATAGAGCGTAAGAGAATAATGGAGAGAGAGTAATAGACAGAGAAGCGAAAAGGGTAAAAGAGAGAGAGAGAGACAGAAGGAGAGATAAAAGGGAGCAAGAGAAAAATGTGAAACCTTGTGTGCGAGAGAATATAGAAAAAAATATGAAGCCCGAGAGAAAATAGAGAAAAAAAGAGAGAGAGCGAGAGAATAAGGGAGAGAAATTAATCGAGCGAGAGAGATAAAAGAGAGTGACATAAAATTAAAAACCAAACATCAAAAAACGTGCGAGAGAATTAAAAGAGAGAGCGATTAAGCGTTAGGGAGTGAGAGAGCCTGATACAGAGTAAGAGAGAGAGAGAGAAGGAAAGTTAAATTAGCGAGTCTTAAAAGAGTAAAAGAAAGTAAGAGAATGTAAAAAACTAAGAGAAATCGTGAGAAGCAAGAGATAGAGAGTAAAAGAGAGCGAGAGAGAGAAAAGTGAGAGATTGAGTAGAGGGGAGTGTGTGAATGTGTGTGTGTGAACAAATGAGTGCGAAAAATAGGCTACCAGTAGTCCATGACGGTTAAAAGTTAATTCTTTTTGAAATGTAAAATTAATCATTTAAAATAAACGGCTGCCCCTCTCTGCGCTTCTCAAAAATTCAAGTAGGGTCTGCCCATTTGCATGAAATTTCAGTGATTTTTTTTTTGTGTGTGATTAACAGTGGCTACAAACTGAAAATGTAAAGTAAATTAAAATTGCTGTTATCCTATTAAAATGTAAACTTAACAGCCGCCCTCCTCTGCGATTCTCAAAAATTAATGTAGGGTTTGCCCATTTACATGTGACGGCAGTAATTTTTCTTGTGTGTGTTTAACAGTGACTACAAACTGAAATCATATTGTGAATTAAAAATGTTGTAGTCACTATTTGAATATAATAGCCGCCTTTCTCTGCGATTCTCAAGAATTATAGTAAGGCGTACATTTTGTACGTAGTTTCTGTGATGTGTTTATATTTAATTAACAGTCTTCTAACTAAAGTGCAATATGAATTAAAAGTGTTATTGTTATAAATAAAGCGAAAGTCAGGCATACATATACTCTAGCTGAGACGTAGCAGAAATTTGATAGCATTCAATAATTTATTAGTAAATATGTTAAATTGAAAATGCAAGTTGTCCCGAAATTGATTGCGTAATTCCCACCGACTTCCGACAGATACGAAGTTGACCCGCGTCTATTTATGTATTTGCCAAAGCGCGACGTAAACGATGCAGGCCAAGCACGTCACATTTGTAAAGCACACTGCGCTGTTGTAAATGTTTTACACACAAACTTTGAGGTTCCGAAAAAATTGAAGCTACCTTTTGTTATTTAAAAATATAAGCTTAAACATCTTTAATATATATATATATATATAAACATCTCAAAAATATATTTTCGCCTGGTAATATCAAAAATTGATTCTTCGTATTGCCACTTTATCAATATATGTATGCATATGCATGTATATCCAAATTATATTCAATTCCAGGTACTTGGGTTTTGCAAGACTTTTTCACTTCCGATCCCGCATTCCCCGAGGCATATTTGAAGCACTTAAGTGACGGTTTTGAAATTTTTGTGAACTTGCAACTTATTGATGAAAATCCCAAATGACGAATAACAAAGCAGATAAGAAAGAAGCAAGCGGCAAAGCAAGCGAGAATAGCCCCAAGTGATTTTTAGACAGCGTGTAAATCACACGCTCGGCCCGCTAAAGATCGATGTCCTTTGCATTCCAGTTGTGTGACCGTATTTTCCCAAAAATTATTAGTAATACCAGACTAAACATATTGTATTGTATTTATTCTGTGTATACAATCGCTTGCCTTTGCCGTTTCATTCGTTCCAGGAGTTGTTTGCTGACTTCTGCTGCAACAGCTGTCAGTTTGTGTTCCTTTTACTGCTGCAACAGCTGCTGCCATTTTTGGTGTATTCTCTGCTAGCATCTTCGTCCAGGCGTTGCGCCGTTCATTCGAGTTTCGGACACGAAGCGTTGCACACGTTTCTACAACGCAAAGAAAATTCTAACATACGGTATTGTTGTTGTTTTTTTTTTAATAACTGGTATTGTTGTTGTTGCTGCTGCTGCTGCTGTTAAGTGCTTCCGCATTTAAACTTGAGCTTGAGTCGACGACGTTGCGCGCCCTTTGGCGAAAGCTGTTTACGCATTGATCTGGCAACGCTGTTTGGTTTCCCCCACCTACCGAAGCTTTGCTGTAAATATTCACAGAGCAAAGCTAACTTAAAGCAGCTTTAACACAACATTTTTAGTGTTATTTTCAACGTGAAGAAGACGAGACGTGTGAACGAATAAGCGGAGCGCAGTTTAATTAACTACAAGTT